ATATGCATATATGAATAACCCATGGACACAGACAATAGTGTGGCGAAGGCCTGGGGAGGAAATGGGAGTGGAGAGGAAGGGGTTAATGGGGGGGGGGCATCTGTAATACTTTCAATAAAGAAATTTTTTAAAAAAGCTTTCAGCTTTTCACTGTTGAATATCAAATTAGCTGTGGGGTTATCATATATGGGCTTTATTATGGTGAGGTATGTTTTCTCTATGTGCACTTTGTTGAAAGTTTTTATCATAAATTGATGTTGAATTTTGTCAAAAGGCTTTTCTGCATCTATTGAATAATTTTTATCCTTCATTTTATTAATGTGGTGTATCACCTTGATTGATTTGTTGATGTTGAATCACCCTTGCATCTCTGGAATAAATTCTACTAGATCGTGGTGTATGATCCTTTTAATGAATTATTGAATTGTTTGCTAATATTTTGTAGAGGATTTTCACATCTATGTTCATCACAGATATTGGCCTGTAATTTTCTTGTGGAATCCTTGTCTGGTTTTGATATCAGGATAATGCTGGCCTGGTAAAATGAGTTTGGAAGTGTTATCTGCTCTTCCATTTTTGAAAGATCTTGAGATGGATTGAGTGATCCGTGTGAAAATGATTCTTATGAGCATATTTGTTCGATTACAGTTGGCATACAATAATAGTTTCAGGTGTATAACAGTGATTAGGCATTTATATATCTTATGGATAAATCTAGCACCCATCTGGCACCATACAAAGTTATTGACTATGCTCCCTATGTTGCACTTTATATCCCCACGACTATTTTTATAACTGTAACTATTTTTATGACTTTTTATTGCATAGACCAGTGGTTCTCAACCTTGGCTGCACATTAGAATCACCTGGGAATCTTTTTAAAATCCTGATTTCTGGGCCTCATCCTCCGGAAATTCTGTTTCTTTGTTATGGGGTGGGGCCACAACATTAGTAACAAAGAAATAGAATTTCCGGAGGATTAGGCCCAGAAATCAGGATTTTAAAAAGATTCCCAGGTGATTCTAATGTGCAGCCAAGGTTGAGAACCACTGGCTTAGAAGGATTCTTTAAAGTTTGGTTGAATTCACCAGAAAAGCCATCTGGTCCTGGACTTTTATTTGTTGGGAGGTTTTTGATTGCTGATTCAGTCTCCTGACTAGTAATCAGTCTGCTCAGATGTTCTATTTCTTCATGATTCAGTTTTGGAAGGTTTTATGTCACTAGAAATGTGTCCATTTCTTGTAGGTTAGGTTACTCTAATTGTATTTCTGCAGTATCGATTGTAATGTACCTCTTTCATTTCTGATTTTGTTTTTTTTTTTGTTTTTTTTTCTTGCTGACTCTAGCTAAAGGTTTGTCAATTTTATCTTTTCCGAGAACCAGCTCTTGGTTATCATCTTTTAAATTATATTTTTACTCCCTATTTTTTCTATTTCTGCTCAGATCTTTATTTCCTTCCAACTTTAGGTTTCATTTGTTCTTTTTTTTAGATCCTTGAGGTGCAAAATTAGGTTGAGATTTTTCTTATTTCTTGAGGTAGGCATTTATCACGGTGAACTTCCCTCTTAAACTTTCCTCTGCTCTTGCTGCCTCCCGTCAGTTTTGGTATACTGTATTTCCACTTGTCTCGAGATATGTTTTCTTTGTTGACCCATTGGTTGTTCAGCGGCATGTAGTTCAATCTCCACATCTTTGTGAATTTTCTAGTTTTCTGGTAATTGATTTCTAGTTTTATACTATTGTGGTTGGGAAAGATGCTTGATATGATTTCAGTCTTCTCAAATTTGTTATGACTTTATATGATCTATTATGATGTTAATGTGGACTTGAAAAATGTGTATTCTGTTGCTTCTGGATGGAATATTCTGTGTATCTGTTAAGGCTGATGTTTCCTTATTGATTTTCTTTCTGGATGCTGTATCCATTGATGTTAAGTGGGGCATTAAGAGCTCCCTGTTATTGTATGCTATTCCTCCCTTTAGGTGTGTTAATATGTGCTTCATATATTTAGGTGCTCATGCACACATCTTTAGTCCACTGGCTATGATGAAGGCAGTGACCGGCTTCTCCCATTGTGCTGAGTCCCCCCTTTTTTTAGTCTTCATTGAAAGTATTACATATGCCCCTTTTCCCAGCCAGCATCTGCCCCACCCCGCCCTAGACCTTCACCCCCCACCTTGTCTGTGTCCATGGGTTATGCATATATGCATGAGTCCCATTTTTTCTTGACTACACAAGGAATTCCTTTTTTCAGGTATCCCTTTCCCTGCAAAATCAGTCTACCTCTATCATTTCTATTTGCATTCTAGCAAACACTCTTGTCTTATAGACAAAATGCCTCTTAACTCCATCGCTCAGCTCTATTTTAGAGCAACGTTTCTCATGAGTTCTACAGCCCTGTTTGTCCCTGTTTACATTCTGTTACTTAAAAAATTATATTTTCATTTGTAAGTGTCCAGAAATCACTGCTGTGATTAGACATGTTTCCTTGGAGACATTTTCCTGTTAATTTACATGCAGATTTACCTATAGAGACAGACAGCAAGTCTTGTGGTTTATGCAAATGAAATCATACAGTTCTGAATTAAGAGTTTTGCAACTTGCTTTATTTCACTGAGATTTTCCTATTTTAGTAGTAATAGCTCCTATTCTGTAATACCTTGAAAGGATTATCTTCTCGAATTTAACCATTTTTTTTAATTGATGGAGATCCAATTCTGTCCTGCAATAATTTATCCATGGACGTTTTTCTTCACGAATGTTACTTTTTAGGATAGATACGGAAAGTGTGACTTCCAGGTCATTTCTGACCCCTCTCCAGGCCCCACCCACCTGGCTTCCATCCCGATCGCTCCATAGAAGCTCCTGGTCACGCCACCACCTGTTTCGTCTTCCTGTCGCCTTCCTCTCAAACATTTGATGGTTGACACCCCTTCCTCTTTACTTCTGGGACGAAAGCCCTTTCCTGGTTTTCCTCCTCCTTGGGCTCCCCTTAAGTTTTCCCTGTTGGTTCCTACTCTACTGGTCTCTAAATGTTGACGTGCGTCAGGCAGCACTGAGCGCGCTTTACTCACAATTCTCTTCCTGGGTGATCACATATTCCTGTTTTGAAGTGCCACCTCCATGATATCTTCTAAATTCCTACCCCAGTCAAGGCCTGTCCTGAATTCCAGGCTAGTACCCAACAGCCTGCAGGACATCTTCATTGGAATACACACCACTGAAGCATCCGTCTTCACACGTCCAGAGAACGTGACCTCTTCTTCCAATCTTCATCTATTACAGCGGTTCTCAACCTTCCCAATGCCGCAACCCTTTAATACAGTTCCTCATGTTGTGGTGACCCCCAATTTCATTGTTACAAATTGAACATAATTAAAGCATAGCGATTAATCACAAAAACAATTATGTAATTATATATGTGTTTTCCGATGGTCTTAGGCGACCCCTGTGAAAGGGTCATTCGACCCCCAAAGGGGTCGCGACCCACAGGTTGAGAACCGCTGATCTATTACAACTTGAACTACCAAGTTGCTCAAACCCTAAAGCTGAAATTTATTCTAGAATTCTACTCCCATACGTTATTGGATATTCTTTCCTAAATGTTATGGGATCTGGACACACTGTTTCATCTCTACCCCCTCCCTCAATCACAGCCATCACTATCTCTGGCCTTGATCTCTGCAAAGGCCTGTCATTCCAGTCCCTTCCCCAACCATTTTCCATACAGCTGCCAACAAACTCTTGTTGGGAGTATTTAGCTTTGGCTTACCCTTCAACGGCTTATAGTTACACCTAGAACAAGGCAGGCCTCAGATAACTGGTCCTTGCCACTCCATCCAGCTTTAACTCCTGCTTCGGCTAAAATGTACCAAGCTCGTTCTTGACTCGGGGCCTTTGTGCATGCTGCTCTTTCTAACGGAATTCTGCAGGTTAGTCCTTTTCACTAACCAGGTCTCAGTCACCTCCCAGAACCCTGCCCCAACCACTCCATCCAAAGCCAGGCTCTGTTATTCTCAATGATGGTGTCCATGTGCTTGTTTTGATCTTGTATAAAATTCCTATCTATCATTCCCGTTATCAGATCCCATGTGATCTCTGGGAAGGGTATCTTAAGCCAGGATCTTTGAAACCATCGTTTTACTATTTATTCAGACTGTTGCACTGAGAGGCAGTAGAGAGCCAAGGACACGGGCTCCGGACTCCCTTGGTTGGAATCTCAGATCCTCCGGCCAGTGTGATGCTTGGGAAAGTACTTAACCTCTTTGCCGGTTTTCTCGCTGGGAAATGGAGTTTATATACTCACCTTTTTGGAGGCAAAGATTAATTCAGGATGATGTGGGGCATATGATTAAATCTATGGTTTTTCAATCACTATAAACATTTTAAAACCTCAAGTGTTCTCTCTGCACTTTGCTGTCTCTAAAACACTGCCTGTTTTTGAATGAAATAGTAACTCCCACAGACTTTACCACTCAGGTTGGGACTTCTATCTACCCTACAAAACTAGTTTCTTAGCTACTTTGAGGGAAACACAGTTCCCATGGGAATGTTTGCAGGAATTCATCCCCTTGTGAACTGCCCATGAAGAATTCCTAACTGATATAACAGGAGTCAGTGAAGCTCACGGGGCCTTGTGGGACAGGAATCTCAAACCAGAGAAACAGTTCCTTCCTGGGTGGACATTAGTTTGGCTCACGCTGATCATTCAGAGAGCACAGGGGATTTGACTGTAGGAATAGAGAATGCTATTTTCTCTGTTCATAAGAATGAAACAATAATAGAATTTAAAAATACTAATCTATTACCTACACTGCCCTCAACAAGATTTCCCTAGAAATACACAAAAGTAGTAATACAAAAGAAAAATCTTAACGCAATCAGTGGCCTACAAGGTTACTAAAAAGTGATCAAGAATATGTGAAAATAATTAGGACTCTAAATACCTTCTAATTGGCCACTTTTCATTTATTTTGCAAGCTAGTCAAGACACCAGACAGTTTTAAAAAGGGTAGAATTAATATTTTATTGTCATTTATAATCAGATGGTAGTTGAATATATAGTCTCTATACTTGATCTATCTTCTTTTTTTTGTAAATAAAAAAAATTACAAGAGCCAATGGCTGGTTAAGATGATTAAATGAATTCATTGATGGTGGCTTCGAGTTTTTCCTTATTAGCGCCAGAAAACTCACCCACCTGTTAAGAAAATATTGAATTGACATTAGATGGTAGCACTGTTACCTCTACTTTGTGCTTAAGACATGATCACAGAATGGGGGAAAACTGGAGGCAAAGGAGAGGTATAATCTTATTCAAAAATAACACCTTGGAAAACACAGTTTTAAGTTAAAAACTAAGAGAAAATAGCCCCTCAAGAACAGGCAAAAGACTCAAATACCTCTTAACAAAGACAAATGTACTTTGTTATAGAACAGGAAGTACCAATCACAGATTTAGTGACTGGGTCTAGCAAAGATCAATTTTGAATTAGATGCCACATTATGTACCCCAGTCAATGAAGAGTGACCTATTTAAGTAGTTCTTAAAAGCAAACAATGGGGACATGCTTCTCAGGATGAAGGAATAAGTAACTTCCGTTTCCTCATTATATCATGTTCTTCTATTACTCAGCTTTCTTCAAGGTCAGATGTGCCTACCTTTTGTCCTTTTTTAAAAAACTGGAAGGTTGGCATGCATTTCACTTCACACTCTGCAGCAACATCCTGGGTTGGGGGGAGGAGGGGGATAGTTGGAGAGAGAATAAAAATAAAACTTAGTATTGAACTTTGACAGAAGCACAGAATCCAAAACCGGATTCTTTTTTCTGTTGTATACTCCATATCTCAGCATTAGGCCTTTATTTAACGCATGAAAATCGACAATGAATATAATGGTAACACAAAACCCTAGTTATATTCTCAATTAAAATTCTTACTAATATGTACTCTCCTCAGAGGGGCACCAAGGAAGGAACAGAATGCAACTTGTATCAGATACTATCTGGTGATTCAATAAGCTCTTTAGTCCAATTACTAGATATTGGCTATTTCATGAATCTCATAAATCAACAAATTCTTTAACTGTACTCAGGGTTATAGTCCCAACTATTCCTCAGAATTAGCACCTCTATCTTTGCTCCTAGTTTTTCCAGATTATTATGGGAATGGGGTACAGAGATGATGATCATAAAAGCTAAAGACGAGTGTGTGAGAAAGAGGAGAAAATTGTGAAAAAATTGTTCAAGAATAATGTCACAGGAATCTAGAGGGGCACGCACTGGTTCTTGTTTATGTTTTTAATTAAAATTTTACTTGCCAGTTCTCAAACCCGGCTGCATGATCAGAATCGCCCGAGGGGCACTACAAGGTTGAGGCCCATCTGATGCTAATGGTAGAACCTTCGTGGGCCACCCAGCTTTGAGACAAATGGGCAAACTCAAAACACCATAAATCGGGCTGGTGGGTGCCTATCTTCCTTCTCCCAGATGCGGCTCTTCCCACATCTAAGATTTTTCTGCTGCTCAAAGGCCATCAAGCATTCTTCAGTTTTGTCACAGGAACTTTTAACACAATACTTTGTTCACATAAGGTTTGGAGGGAAATGCCATGAAAATAGTCTTGTTTGGGCAAGTGTTTCAGGTGAAGAAGGCTGGTAAGGGTTGGACAGTGCCCGCTTGGCACTCAAAAGAGGATCAGGTAAGAAAAGGAGAACCTCACAGCCCCTAAGCAGAAAAACCGTGCAAGGGAGCAACCCAGGCAGCAGAGCCCTCGAACCCAGATCTCGGAAACCAAAGAACTGTCATGGGATTTCCCTGGCCACATTATTTCAGAATGTCAACGGTCAATCTACCCAAGATGTCAGATTTAGTTAGACCAGTGGTCGGCAAACTCATTAGTCAACAGAGCCAAATATCAACAGTACAACGATTGAAATTTCTTTTGAGAGCCAAATTTTTTAAACTTAAACTATATAGGTAGGTACATTGTTATTAACTTAATTAGGGTACTCCTAAGGCTTAGGAAGAGCCACACTCAAGGGGCCAAAGAGCCGCATGTGGCTCGTGAGCCACAGTTTGCCAACCACGGAATTAGACCAATTCGGGAGTCTGACATTTTAATAGTACTGAGTCAATATTGCAGGAACATAGTATTCCTATCAAAATCCTCTATGGACTTGACCTTTGCTATCCCAAGTTAATGTTTTACTTTTATCACTTCTGTTTTCTTCTTGTTCTATGGACTGGTTTGCTATTTCTGTAGTGATTGCAAAGTTATGCGCACTTAAAAACTAAGTAGCTACCTCCGAGGTTTTGAAAACATTCTTATCACTTCCCTCTTAGAAACGAAAAGCCAGCCTACTCCCCAATAACACCTCCTCTTCCTGTCGTGTGTGTGTGTTTCTTTTTGGTGAATAATCTGGAACTGTAAACTTACATATAGTAAAATTCACTTTGAGGGGTGTGTATGGACAAGTTCTGACACTTGCATAGTCACATAAACACCACCAAAACCAGGACACAAAACTATTCCCTCTCCCCCCAAATTCCCTTGGGGAGCTCCTTTGTAGTCAAACCCTCCGCTCACCCCACCCGCTAGCAACACCCGACCTGTTCTCCATCCCTACAGCTTGACCCAGTCTCTGATTTTTATTAGCTTCTAGCTTACACTCCATATAGCGAAATAACTTTAGACCTGCTTTTGTCAGTTCTATTATTAACTCATTTCTGGCTGTTCTAAAATGTTACAGAACTCTCAGGGCTAACTCACTTGTTTCTTGTTTTAATTTACCGAAGTACCATGCCCCGCAGAGAGCTGGGAGCCCATCATTCCCAAAGGGCGAGTACTCGCACTTCTCTGTGAATACCAAGTTTTCCTTGTGCACCACATTACGTGTCCATGCCTCCTAGCTGTCCATGTGACTCTATTACACCCAAACGATAACTTCTTCCTATCCTAGGCTTTATAGAGCCTTCTTTCAAAACTGTATGCTGCTTGCTCCAAAGACATTATAAATGTGTAAATTACCCTGGGTCTGACGTTCATGGTCGGGAGCGACCTGTATATAAATTTTAAAAACTAATTCAGTTATGAAACATTCCATCTATTGAATGATAGGATCTAATGTTCAGAAATGAGACTGATGTAATTTTTACCCCTTATCTGTATTCTTTAAGAGTTGAAATGAGGTGATGGTTTTACCTAGTTTCCAAGCAACCAGAAGACCCACTCACGTAATTCATGAATTCCTTGGCGAAACCACTCACTGACTGTTTAAGGAACTGCTTTTTGTTTGAATGACCAGGTGAGTAGGAGCTGACAGAGACTGCAGCTATGTGTATGTGGTGATCAAAGGGTTCTGGAATTAGTTCAACTTTTACCTCTGCAACAGATAAGGCTATTTAGGTGGTTGTAATAGCCGCCATTACAGGTATTCGATCTTTAGAACAGGGACGCAAAGTGAAAGGCCCCCAGTGTGTGAGTGGGGCACCTCAAGGTTTGGAAACTCTCAGGGTGATGAGTATGCCAACCAGACGCGGACGAGCAGCTCAGGCACACAGCAGTCCTGCCTGCTCTGCACATCTGTGCCCCGGAGGCGGTAAGAGCGCTGGGCCTTGAACCAGCACGGGGCAGGGCTCAATGCGCCCCCCTCGCGCCCCCCAACTCTGCCTTGATTAACACCTCTGTGCTACAGTCCACTATCGCTTCAGTGGGGATGCTAAGAAGCTGTTCTCATCGTTCCTGTGAGGATTAAGTGACCTAATGCCGTGGTCGGCAAACTGCGGCTCGCGAGCCACATGCGGCTCTTGGGCCCCTTGAGTGTGGCTCTTCCACAAAATACCACGTGCGGGTGCGCACGTACAGTGCAATTAAAACTTCATGGCCAATGCGCAGAAGCTGGTGTTCTGTGGAAGAGCCACACTCAAGGGGCCCAAGAGCCGCATGTGGCTCGCGAGCCGCAGTTTGCCGACCACTGACCTAACGCATGCAGAGCTTCCCACAACATCTAGCACATGGTATTGCTTTCCAATAAAAATGTATTCAGTTGCTATCTGACAGGGTCAGCACCAGAAGTTTCTCTCAAGACTTTAAGTTGGAAAAAACCTTTGCTCCCTGTTTTAACCGAACACATACTATCTACTCTCAATCCTTTTTTTCCTAAAACTATGCCACACATCAGAACAATAGCGTGACAACCATTCTTTTTATACCAACTGCCTGCCAGGAAAGTGTGCTTAGTGAAGAAAGAGACTAACAGTCAAGGAGAGACACAAAGAGGCCATTATAAAGATTCAGTGAATGTTTCACATGTGCCAGGTATTGTTCTAAGCGCTTTCTAGGAGTTATCTCATTTAACCCTGATGACTATCCGATGATGTTACGTTAACATTGCCATTTTACAGAGGATCAAACTGAGGCACAGACAAGAAAACCGAGCCTGTACAGCTAACAAGCGACAGAGCTGGGGGAGAAAGCAGGCAGTCTACTAGGTAGAGGATCCACCCCATCCCACAACCGTAATGCAAGAGGAAAAGGTGCCCAGGATACCATGGGGACAGAGGAAGGGAAACTAACCTAGTCTGGGCATAAAAGGGGGTAGCTGGAGAAGGGTTCCTGGAAAAGATGTGAAGCCTGCAGCTAATTCATCAGCTACAAAAGGCAAGGCTGTGCCCAGCAGGCCCAGCAGAGAATGGACTGTGAGTGAAAGGACGCGTGTGGAATTGGTGAACGTGCTGTGGGAAGGTCCTCACAGATTTAGAAAGTATAACCCTGTACCCACTTTTATCGACCCTTTAGTACATTCCATAGTTGCTCAATGAATATGCAACTTTGGCCAGCTGATGGGGCAAGGATTAACATCTGACCATAGCAAAAAACCAAGGCTCAAGGAAGGAGGATTAGCCTGAAGCAGAAGTCACTGAGCCAGGACTGGAACCAAGGTCTAGCGCCTCTGCTGCCACATCATAGCCTAGACCCCTCCTGCCCACTGGGGGAGGGGGAAATGCCCACCTATCTCTAAAGAGCGCCCAGTGAGACGCCTTAGCTGGCTCTCCCCGTTCAGTGGGCTGTGTGAGGCACGGTCCGCGCTGGGAACCTGACCCGCACCCACCACACCACAGAGCGGCCTCTGGTGGGAAAGAGCAAGGGCTGGGAAGCCAGCGACCTCATTTTAAACCCAGGCTCTGCCACTGCACCTCCATGGACCACCTCACACCTCTGTTTTTCTCTTCTGTAAAATGGGGTGGTAACACCAGGATTTAAATGAATCAATACTTGTAAGAACAGTGCCTGGCCCATAAAGTGCTAAACAAGCATTTGTTAACTCAACCAACCTGGAATCTTCCCCTTAATTATTCTCTCAGCTCTCTACTGGGCAACTTGGTGGTTTTTTCTTTAAAACCGTTGGGTTTTCTAATTGACCAAAATCAACTAAGACTAGAATAAGTGTGTGAATATACTTTCTCATGTCATTACTTCACAAGAACCTTAAAAGTGGTCTCCACGTTTGGTGATAACCATCAACTCTATAGTGTTAGGTAGAATATAAAGGTTTTTAGAAGGTAAATAACTGGGAAGTAAAGTACTGAAGCCTCAACTATCTATTTTTATGCTTATTTTAGGATACATATACCTCCTGATATCTGGGATTAAGCTCATAGTTGGCACAATTACCTATTCTTTCAAAAGAAAACAGTTTAGCTAAGTAGCATTCCAGATTTCCAGCCACGTACCTGACAGTCATCCACATCTATTTCAAGGAACACCACATTGGAATACTTTTCAGAGAGGGACTGGAACATTTTAAATGAAAAATACACAAAGAATTAGAACTTGTCAATGGCAGTTAATACCCAACCTTCTTAAACGAATATATAATAAAAGATGCCAAAATTTAGACTAGGGACAAGGGTAAGCATAAAGGACATATTTTCTCTGAATCAAATTCTTCCTAGAGTAAAATAACTCGAGGCCCCAATTTCAGAGAGAGCGGGGCCCATGTTTCAAAATGAACTAAAGCAAAACCATTTAAGACAGTGGTTCTCAGCCTTCTGGCCCTTTAAATACAGTTCCTCATGCTGTGACCCAACCATAAAATTCTTTTCGTTGCTACTTCATAACTGTAATGTTGCTACTGTTATGAATCGTAATATAAATATCTGATATGCAGGATGGTCTTAGGCGACCCCTGTGAAAGGGTCGTTCGACCGCCAAAGGGGTCGCGACCCACAGGTTGAGAACCGCTGATTTAAGACACCCGAATTAGCTTTTAAAGGTTGTCTTCAATGGGCGACATGTGTCAAAGCTAACTTATTTAGGTTGTTACATTATTACTTTTAGACCAAAGATCAGACAACAACCAACCCACAAACTATTGTTGTTGTTTTTTTTTCTAGGGTCGTGACCACCAACCCAAAGAACACAAATCTCTTAAACAGCAGAAGGTGTTTAATACTCACATGAAAGAAGGGCTTGATCATTTTGCAAGGCCCACACCACGCGGCGGAGAAGTCAACCACGACCAGCTTATCTCCTGCACTGTTCAAGGCTTCCTGAAAAGCATACTAGGGGAAAAAGAAAGGCGTGTGTTAAAAGGCCCAATAAAACCTGACAAAATGTGACACAAAGCACAATTCAGAGGTCCTGGAAGCAAAGCCTGCCTTTTAATAGAAAAACCCAAAGAAACTGCTTGAAAAACAAAAAAAATCCTTTGGTGTTGTTTGTAATATTGCTTGATAAGATGAAACAAGTATGTGTATAGTGTATCAATATTCATGTGTCTATGAATATTTTATAAAATTTTAGACTATAGCCAAACTAAGGAAAAAAATAGACATTTGTATTAAAAATGTTTCCACATCAAATCTAGGTACAGTGTAACCTCGTTTCTCAAACTTAATTCGTTCCAGAAGGCTGTTCGAAAACCGAATCATTTTTTCCCATTAGAAATAATGTAAGTCGAATTAATCCATTCCAGATCCCCAATGATTCCGTTTTAACCTTTCTTAATATACAGTATATGTCTATTCTGTTTAATCTATAAACAAATACTTTAAATACAAAAAGGACATGAAGTGTAAATGAAAATTTAACAAAAAGTAAATGTACAGTAAAAATGAAAATTTTACAAATTATAAGCAGCAACAAAAGCAAAAAAAAAACCACGAAAATATTCACAGCACAATATCCTGATATCTTAACAGTAGTAAACTGACTGATATTTGTGCAATTTCTCCTTTGTCTGTCACCTGAGAGATGTGTGACTCATCATACAGGTATCAGCATGAAAGGGTTGTCAGGTTGAGAAGCGAATTGTTCGAGATGGGAGATGTTCGAGAAACCAGGTTCTGCTGTAGTTTGGACACATTTACTAAATGCTTAACTGGTGAAAGGGGATCACCTGAATTAAGAAGTCACAAAGACACAGAATTTTGCTATCTACAACACAAGTTTGTTTGTTTCTTTTAATCTAACACTTTTTTCATTAAATTAATATTTCCTATGGTGGAACTTTCCAAAAGCAAAAGAAAGGAAAAGTAACCTCCTCCAATCACTGGCGACATGAAGCATATTTCCTTGTATTCTTTTTAACGGAGTTTCCAGAGTTCAGATCAGAACTGTGTATGGTTGACTTCTGCCCTTTATCTCAAAACTCTGCCCTCATTGTTGACCAAATGAAAGCCAGTTCTAGTTCCTCCTAAGGAATGCACGTTAAATAAAATGCCAGGAGCAGAAATGACCAAAAAATCCCTTACCACCAACCTCCGTGAATAATTTACTGATGGTCTTGATACTGTAACCCTGGGAACCTAACCTTTCAGTTAAGAAACTCATTTTAACCACAATTAGTCAGTCAGTGCTGATCAAAACCAGGGCAACGAAGAGAAATCAAAACACAAACATCTACATCTAAAGTCTAGGTTTTCTTCAAGGAGAAAATGCGGATCACACTGGTTTAATGAAAAACTAACGTTCCCCTCCTTTGACAGCTAAGAATCAGATCAGATCTGGTCCAGTAGAAAGAGAAAGTAAATGAGTCACCATTAAAACCTTGAGTGAATTCCCCTGAAGTAGTTACATCTCTAGATTTCTAATTTCTAATTTTTTGGGAAATAATTCACAAATGATGTTTCGAGAATGGCATGTCATTACTTATGTACCCTTTTCAGTTATGCAGGTACAAACTGTCCCCCTACCTTTGGGGGTCTGTGGGAGCGTCAAGTTAGAATGACAGAAACTGGCCCTAGCTGGATAGCGCAGTTGGTTAGAGCGCCATCCTGATATGCCAAGATTGCAGGTTCCATCCCTGGTCATGGCACATACAAGAATCAACCCATGAATGCATAAATAAGTGGAACAACAAATTTCTCCACCTCCCCCTCTAAAATAAAAAAGAATTATAGAAATTACATTTCCAAATCACCACTGATTTGTCCAGATTAAATTTTTAGAAGGTCAAACAAGCCATTCTACACAGGCAAGATCCAGATAAGACAGAAAACAAGTCTAAGAATGACACTGTCTGGTCAGACAAATACAGTGGACCCTTGAACAACACGGGTTTGAAGTACGTGGGTCCATTTATAGATTTTCAATAAGTATAGACAGCACTGTAAATGTATTCTCTCTTGTCATTTTCTTTTCTCTAGCTTACTTTATGGTAAGAATCCAGTATACAATACATATAACATGTGTTAGCTGACTGTCAGCTCTATCTGTAAGGTTTTTGGTCAACAGTAGGCTATTAGCGGGGAATCAAAAGTTCTACCCACATTTTCAATTGTGCAGAGGTTGATGTCCCTAACCCCTATGTTATACAAGGGTCGACTGTATATTGTTTTGTGAACATGGCTGGCTCTCAGTAAATACTTGGTAAGATTACTTTCAACATAGAATATTATTTCAAACACTCTCAAGGAATTCCCACAAACAACTCAGAATCAAATTCCAGCAAAACTACCTAAAAATCTGAAAAGAAAAAGGCACGCAATAGGAACTTTGGGCTCAAATGAACCTGAGTTAGAGCCTGGTATGTGTAGACTTCACAACCATTTCTCATCTCCAGATATTTAAAATTTACCTAAAACAGACATCAGTTTGAAAATGATTCAAAATTACCTCACTAAGAAGCAAACCACAATCCCTAGATACCAGAAACTAAAAATGAAGATTAAAGGTCCTCTTCACTGACAAATATTTTAATTTTTTTAAAAATCCTCACCCAAGGATATTTTGTCCATTGACTTTTTAGAGAGAGGGAGGGAGGGAGGGAGACGCCCTAGCCCGTTTGGCTCAATGGGTAGAACATCGGCCTGCAAGCCTGCAGACCGAAGGGTCCCAGGTTCGATTCCAGTCAACGGCACGCACCTCCTCGGTTGCAGGCTCCTCCCTGACCCAGAGCCCTGGTCAGGGCACATGCAGGAGGCAACCAATCGATATGTTTCTCTTACATCAATGTTTCTCTCGGTCTTTCCCTCTCTCTTCCACTCTCCCTAAAAAGCAATGGAAAAATATCCTGGGGTGAGGATGAACAAAAAAAAGGAGAGGGAGAAACAAAGACATCAATGTGAGAGAGACACATCAACTGGTTGCCTCCTGCAAAACCCCCTAGTGGGTCAGGGATGGGGGTTTGGACCTGGAAACCAGGTATGTGCCCTGGTGGACTGGGAATCGAACCTGAGACCCTTCCGCGCTTGGGCACTCTAACCACAGGGCCTGACACAAATATTTTAAAAACAAGTTAGGTGGGGTACATAAATAGAAGCAGAGTCTAGCACAGCCGTGGGCAAACTACGGCCCGTGGGCCGGAT